ATGTATGTATGTATGTATGTATGTATGTATGTATGTATGTATGTATGTATGTATGTATGTATGTATGTACGTATGTATGTATGTATGTATGTATGTATGTATGTATGTATGTATGTATGTATGTATGTATGTATGTATGTATGTATGTATGTATGTATGTATGTATGCGTTACCATACTCGAACCTGGCTTGAAGTACGAATGAGCTGCTCTCTTCTCGTCCGTTATAGCCTTAATTGCGTGATGGTTGTGGGTTCCAGGTGTACATGTGCGTGGTATATTTAAGCAGGCTGCCTTGCACGTATCTCGACATTGTGGCGAGTCCTCAGGCCCTATTTCAACTCTTTCGTTAATGTTCGTTATGTATACGAGTATGTATGTAAGTATGAATGTAGGTATGTATTTATGTATGTAGTTATGTATGTATTTTGTATGTATGTATGTATGTATGTATGTATGTATGTATGTATGCATGTATGTATGTATGTATGTATGTATGTATGTATGTATGTATGTAGGTATGTATGTAGGTATATATTTATGTATGCGTTATCATACGCGTACCTCGCACAAGCATAAATGCCTCGTTTACTTCTAGTCAAGGCGCACTTGAGATTTGGTTGTGAATACAAGATGTACATGTGCATGCACACCTATACGTTTTTTGCCTACACATACTTCGAATATGTCGAAATCTCCTTGGCAGACACTGGCTCGATCGCTTGATGGGTGAGATTGCAGACCATGTGTGTATATGTATATGTATATGTATATGTGTGTGTATGTGTTTGTGTATGTGTATACGTATGTGTATGTGTGTGTATATATGCATTTGTATGTGAATGTGTATGTGTACGTTTTCTCTTCACGTCAAGTCCAGACTCAATCGCTTAGTGGTGGTGAAAGCTGAGGCAGGCCGTTTGCGCGAGGGAAGCAGATCGCAGTCTATGAACCGTTTTTGGCTTTCTACGGATGGTACATTGACCGAATCGGGTACGTTTTCTCGATCGAGTACGTTTTCTACAGTAATAGTAAGCGGGTTGTGGAGCTCCTTTGCAGCCACATCAACTGATTTGGGTACTTTTTCTCTGTCATGTACGTCTTCCTCATCAGCGATGGTTATGCTGCATGCCTGCACAAGAGAAGGAATAGCACAGCACATTGAGATGATATTGACGGCTTTGATATTTTACCACGAACGATCTTCTCGAGTTTATCGAATAGGTTGTAAGATTCGATTTAACAGCTAGTGCATGGGTAAGGTATACGTCTATACAGGGTGGCTTAAAGAAGGTATTGCAATCATACGTGTCATTGCGTAGTAGCCACACCATAACTCTCCTATGGTGTGCACGTGTGTATGCGATTCAATAATTCAATAAACCACATATGTACCGCAAGCACGGTATCTCGAAAGCACACACCGAGAGAAAGACATCGACACACGAAGCGAATAGCGGCAGTTTGTGGGCGCGATTGTATACAACGACACTCTACAGATCAAATACACTACGTGCCGTTGGCAGGAATCCCCACGAGACACGATATGATAGGGAATATAGGCCATGGCTGTGTACTTCATTTTAGAACTTCATTTTAGAAGTCGATGTATGTCAATATCCCTACCTCATTTGCGTGTGTATGCGTGTACATACTCATGACATACCCTTACTTAGTTTGTGTGTGTGCGCGTGTAAACATACTCATAGCATACCCGTACCTCCTTTGTGTATCGCTCGAGCGTGATTGGGTGCAGGATACCTGTAGCCACTCCATGGGCGTTTTGATCGCCGAAATGCCTGCGGTCAACGTTGAGTCATATAACAAGCGTTGGTATGTTTGTATATGTTTGTATTGTGTAAACAAAAAGTTGTAGATTTTCTAAGACTAAACCCCTAAAACCCAAATTATTCTAAAATAGAACAAGAATTTGTATGTGTGTTGGGTGACTAGGACCGCCAGATATGATGCGATATGCAAACCGTTTAGAATGTACAGACACTGACATTGAAAATCAATTTCACGAAATGCGTCGCATGTCTTCCAAACATTTATACATAGATAAGTTTCAAGCCTATGATATATAGCACAGTTATCCAGTCATGAGATAAGACTTCCAGTACTTGGGATCAAAAAGTCTTCCACTCCAGATGAACAACTAGTCTACACCATTCAGCAAACGTTGCCACAACTTCATGGGCGCGCGTAGTGAAGCGAGCATAAGTAGCAACGAAGTTCGAACGTTCGCATGAAAACGTACATACACGTGCGCACGTTTTACTGTACACTGCGGTAGGCGCGGATGCATACGTTCAGCTAGTACCTGCACACATACACACGGTGTGTGTAGGGACTTTTAGCACCCAGCTGAGTTAATCTGTGTTAAATGCTGAGGATATAGAGTCACAGGCTGCTATATATGCCAGATCCTCGATGTGAATGCGTTAGTTTTGGTATTGGCATTCGCAGTCAATACGTTCTCAGCAATAACGGAGACATTCATGTGACCAAATGTATTTAAGCGGACTTTTATAACTTTTTATTCTATAAAATGGTTCACACCCCATTAGATAAATGTATCAGTAGCAGTGCAGGCACCAAGCGACATTGCATGCAACTATATGAATTTGTAAACGAAGTGAATATGCACAGCTGCATGTGTAAACATGTATTAAACACACCTCTACGTGGATATGTATGCGTATATATGCCTACATGTACATAGATATACCAGACACACCCGTACATAGATTTACATGCATGTGAAGATTTGCAAGTGCACACAAGATTTGCAAGTGCACACATGTGCTAAACACACCTCGACGTAGATATATGTGTACACTTCTACATGTACATAGTTATAATAGATACACCCGCACACAGATTTGCATGCATGTAAACACCTGAATGTGCACACATGTACTTACGGGCCAATCAGATGCGCCACGTCGTTGTAGGTGAATGTGTCTGTCTTTGTAAAGGCATTCAGCGGTTTCGCACGCTGCGACACTGGGTCGTAGATCTTCTCGGCGAGTGCGAGGAGTTAAGAGTATCGGGACGAGACAAGTCTGTTAGTATATTGAGTATAGAATAGACTAGTAGGAGTATTGGGGACAACACAGGTCAGTTGGTATATTAACAGAATATACGAGTAAGAGTATTGGGGACAACATAGGTGATTAGTATAATGAGAATAGAATACACGGGTAAGAATACTGGGACGAGATAGATCAGTAGTGTGCCGAGTACAGAATTGATGAGTAAGACTATTGTGGACAACATAGGTCACTTAGTAAATCGAGTACAGAAAGAACGAGCGAGATTATTGTAGACAACAAAGGTGAGCTAGATAATGAAAAATAGAATACAGGAGTAAGAATATTGGGGACAGCATAGATCAGTTAATGTATTGTGGAAAGAATAAACTAGAAAGAGAATTGTGACGGTTACGGCATCTCGAATTCCAAAAAGCACACAGCCAGCTGCTCAGCCAGCTGCTTCCAGACAGTCATATATGTGTAGGTTAGTTGGTTGGTTTGTACAAGTATATTACTAATACTCACCCATATGCACACACAGACATAACCACACATACGAACAAACACAGACACACACAGACACACACAGACACACACACATACATACACACACCCAAAGAGAGACAGAGAGACACACACACACAAACACACGCACAGACACACACACACAC